GGCGCTAGGCTTACCGCACCGTGACGTCACTGCTGGAAGATGGCAGGAGGGAGGGGCTACTATAGTTGGGCAAAAATGGCCGCTCCCAGACTCAGTGATCGCGATGAAAATTATTGTTTTTTTTACTTATTAACGCTAAATTCATTAAATCACGGCGAACGTATTAGTTTCAGGTATAAATGATGATCCGTTGGTTATTCCTTCCTTTAAAAAAAACAACACTTTAGAGTTAAATCAAGGAACGTGTCGCTCCTATTTCCTAAGATTAATAAAATTAACCGTTCAATAGTGTTTATCAGCCATCTGGTCATTCTGACTCCTGCCTGCTCTTCTAGTAGAATCTCTCCATCAGGGTTCATTTTCTCCTCGCTTCTTTCTATCAGTCTACCTCTAATCTAAAACAGGGACATTAAACATCAAACTTTAGGCTGGGTTTGGGTCCCAGAGGTTCGGTTCCCTGCGAAACGAGTCGGTCCTCCTCTGTGTTTCAGACCCAGTGGGGCTGATGGGGGTTTACTGGTTTTCTCAGGAGGAAGTGGGAGCTGCAGTGGACCAGCTGTGTCTGGAAGCTGTGGATAAAATCCTGGAGATAATGGAAGTGAACGTGGCCACACAGGAAGTGACCGCTGGAGAAGCTCCGCCTCCACCTGATGACGGCTGTGGAAGCTCAACGAGGACTGCAGTGGACAAGCTGTGTCTGGAAGCTGTGGATAAAATCCTGGAGATAATGGAAGTGAACGTGGCCACAAGGGAAGTGACCGCTGGAGAAGCTCCGCCTCCACCTGATGACGGCTGTGGAAGCTCAACGAGGACCGAGACAGAACAAGGTGAGTTCTCACTCCTCCAGGTTCTAGGTTACCAGGGTTACATCACTTCCTGTGGGCCAGTGACGGTAAGGCTGAACCAGTATGTTGGCATCAAACTGGTTCCAGTCCAGAGCAGGAAGCCGGAGCTGTGGTTCCTGCTCGATTTAAAAAGAAAAAGAAAGAAAAATCGTTTAAAAAACACTGAATCGTCTGCATAGAGGCGGATATTAGGAGATAGATCAAGGATTACTAGAAGATGGGACATCTCAGAAAACATGAGTCACAGCAGAAAAACAGGAACCACCAAAGGGGGAGGGGCTTAATCCTCTAATATGACTCACTGAGATTATTTTCTCTGCTATAAATCAGACTTAGCTTCAGATGGAAATCAAACCTTTATAAAAGAACAGAGGCAGTAGTTTAGGAAACGGATCCCAGGAAGAATCGATGTTCTGGAAGGAGCTGATGTCAGAACGGCGCCGAGCTTCATTTCTCTGTATTTCAGGTGAAAAGGCAGCCATCGCTGAAGCCGGCAGAGACCACGCCTACATCCTGCTGCTCATAGTCAGTCCACCAATCAGGCTGCAGGTAGAGGAACCCTGGAGACGCTCAGCAAAACGTTGATCATGTTCCTGTTTTCAGAGCCCTGCTGGAGACGCTGGGAACCTGCTGGTGGCGCTGCAGAGCACCGGCAGCGCTGAGGGTGAGTTAGAGAAGAAGAACGGATCCCTGAGGAGCTGCTGCTTTAATCTGGCCTGAAACATTCATCGGATTAATCGATTGTTGAGATTATTTATACAGCATGGAATCAATTCCCAATACGTCATCATCTCAAAGCGACCCGCTATGAGCAGCAATTATACCAAGATTGTAAAAAAATACGTAAACATTTTAAATTAAGGATAAATGTTTCTGCCTGTAAATCTGCTCTATGATCCACAAGTCGAAAAGTTTCAGTTTCAACTGGTTTCATTTCGTAAAGAATCTTTTTTAGGAACCTTTAGCTATCTGATTATTAATCCATTAATTAAAAAACGTATTAATTGATTTGCAAATGAATGTTTAGTTGCAGCTCTTGTTATTTAAATGTGAGCAGCTCCCCCTGCTGGTGGTCAGATGAACTGCTTCTTCTCCTCTGGTCCTACAGGTGAGAAGATGCAGCCCCCCCACCTCCCCTCCTCCTCCCCACCAGCGAGTGATGACCATGGATACGCTCGACCATCGACGGCGCCGCCAGACGGCGCCTCAGCAATGGAGGCGGGACGTAGAACCCAACAGCCAGTCCAGCCCCCCCTGCAGTGCTCCCAGTGCACCAAGCTGTTCCCCAGCGCCGAGCGGCTGGCCGACCATCACAGGAAGTCCCACCCGCTGTGCTCCGTGTGCGGCACGCAGTTCAGCGGCATCCTGAAGCTCCGGGAGCACGAGATGAAGGAGCACGGACTCCTGCCTTACTCCTGCAGCTACTGCCCCAAAACATTCAACCACAAGACTCACCGCGACCTCCACGAGAAGGCGCGGCACACCCGCGAGAAGAACTGCCACTGCGACATCTGTGGGAGGAGCTTCTCCTGCGCCAGCGTGCTGAAAACCCACAGACTGACCCACTTCAACAAGACCTTCATCTGCGAGGTCTGTGGGAAGACCTTCTACCACGCCTCCCACCTGAAGCGCCACACGCTGGTCCACCAGGAGGTGCGACCGTACAGCTGCTCCACCTGTGGGAGGGGCTTCAACCAGGCCGCCAACCTACGCAGCCACCAGGCCACGCACAGCGGAGAGAGGCAGCTCTGCTCCATCTGCGGGAAGAGCTTCCGCTACCTGAAGAACCACGTCATTAGCAAACATCCGCACGAGGCGGCGGCCGGCGAGCTGCCGCCCCGCCACGCCATCATCAGCTGCCCGGTGTGCAGGAAGAAGTTCCCCAATGCGTCGCAGTGCAGGACGCATCAGCTCCAGCACACGGGGGAGAAGCCCTTCCACTGCCAGGCGTGCGGGAAGAGCTACGGCCGGAAGGCGCAGCTGCGGGCGCACGCCGCCACCCACGGCGGCAACAAGCCCTACAGGTGCTCCGTGTGCGCCAAGACCTTCAGCCTGGCCTCCAGCTTCCTGAGGCACCGCAGCATCCACAGCGGCGCGACACCCTACAGCTGCCAGGCCTGCGGGAAGAACTTCCGCCTCCTCACCTTCCTCAAAGCTCACCTGCAGACCAGAAGGCACCTGAGGCGGACTCAGCAGAACCAGGACCCCACCGACCAGCACTGAACCAGACTGGATCCTGTCCAGCAGTCACAGAACTCTGAGCTCTGACCCACTTCTAGACGTCCCGCTTCTAGACGTCCCGCTTCTAGACGTCCCGCTTCTAGACGTCCCAGTTCTAGGAGTCCCAGTTCTAGGAGTCCAGTTAGTTTAGAACCGTTCTTTCTTTTCTATAAAGGTTTCCTTTTTTCCCGTTCCTTCCATCCGTTGCTGTTGATCCAAACCTTCTAAGGTGAGACGTGACTCCATGGGCCAGATGTGGACTGGTTTCCAGTCTAATGTGGACTGGTTTCCAGTCTGAGCAGCTGGTAGGTCCCCAGTAATTCCAGATGATAGCGTGTAATCCATCAGACCTGCGGCCAGATTAAAGGACGTATACAAGCGATAATCCACCTTTGTGTTTGAACAAAAGCTGTAATCACCTTCCTGATGATGGCTGCTAATCTGCTGCAGATAAACAGCCTGTTTACTCGCTGCAGCAACAGCTGGATCTGCTCCAGATGTTGCTGCTGGCTAATGAGGCAGCAGGACCAGACAACATGTTTACCTTTAAATCATCTTCAGCACGTGATAAAAACAGCAGCGGCTGATCTGATTATCAG